GATTCTCGGGTTTAGAAGTATCATCTTTCCCACTTGCTTTTAGGATGCTCCAAGAGCTTCAAAGAAAGCAAGGAGTGGGCAGAGCTTCTCTTCCACACTGTGGAAGAGAATGTGAGGAAATTTAGTTATGGAAGAAGCAACCTCCTTAGGCTTTGTCCCTAATGTTGCGAGGCACGAAACCATTGGAACCAGTTTTTCGTGCAAGTCGAGAGTTAGAATTTTCGGACACTTCCCAACAACGGCAGGAAGTTTTCTCTCTTGAATGCCTATGCTTTTCAAGTAATCCCAGTTTTCTGAAGCTTTCTCCCTTTGCACGTCCTCAAGGCGCTTGCACTTCTTCAACATTTCATGTATACTTTTATTGTCAAAACCCCTGTCTCTGAAAAACCACATAATGCCACCACTGTTGCAGTTTGTTTCCATATTCCCTGATAGGATTTCGACGAAACATCATCTCAAGATAACATCTTTGAGTAAAAATCACTAAAATTAGAAATAAACATGAGATGTAATAAATGCAAATAATTTATTGATAGGTAATCACAACAATGAAAGAAGCCAATAAATTTGGAGTCGGGCTACATGAATCCTTCTTCGTCATTCAGCTCTATCCATTGATATATCTTCGAGGAGATCTAGAACAACTAGGATCTTTAGAAACTATAATAGGTCAATTTAATTTTGGTCCGCCTCTCCCTCTTCTAACTTGCTCCAATGAAATCACATCATTGCTATGGAAGGAGGGCTCTTTAGGTTGATGCAAAACATGAACCAACCACTAAAAAGTTGACCTTCACTTTGTGGTGTATATTCTCTATCCATTTTACTATGATGGCACATCCATTAATTTACTAGCACACAACTAAAAATATTTCCATCCGTAGTCATAAAAGCAATCAGATTTACAGTTCCAGGTATTGTAAATCCAGATATAAAGCCACCTAATGCTTGATTTATTACTCAATGGTAAAATGAAATCTTAAAATAACTTATGCTCGATCATACTTCTCTAGTGTTGTAGAAGATTCAACAGGAGCAATGTAAGTGATAGATATTACTTTCTCAAAGTGTTACCTAAATGGATTTCCAGAGATTCAAAATAAACCCAACATTATATTAAAAAGAACCCTCCTAACATGAAGTTATGAATTTCCAAGCCCAAGTGGAGCATTAAGGAACAAAAAAGTACGGACCCCCAAATTATACAGCTGTAGATATTATTACACAAAACGAGCTAAAAAAGAATTGATTTATACAGTTAAACACGAAACCAAGAAAAATGCTGGGCTTATCAAGAAATATAGTGCAGGGGAATCTTGAAATTGACCCAAAAAATAAAATAATTCGAATTTCATACGAGGAATTTGATGAATTTTTAAAATAAAATAACTATTTTGTAGTCGATGAAGAAAGAACCGAAATGTAAAAAAGCTTCCTTATACTCACAATCTCAAGCACGGAGCCTGTCTCGCTCGCTCGTTCTCTCTCAGTTTTGCCTCAGGAACTAGAAGAGTTCTGTTCATCCATTATCCTTTTTTTCACTTTGAGAATTTTGTCTTCTCTTTTCCTTGTTCTATTTTTTGAAATTTGAGATTTAATTATAAGGTAAATGTTCAGTTTATTTAATTACCCATTGGTCAATAATTTTTTAGGTAACTATGTTAATAATCATTGAGGTTATTTTTATGCTATAATAATAATTAAGTTATTAATTATTACATTAATAATTACTCAATCAAAAAATTAACAATGAATAATCTTTCATGGCACAAATAAAAGTTGATGTGTTACCAAAATACATTATTTATTATGTCAAGTCAGTAAAAATCATCATAAATAATATGTGCTTGTTATATAATTTTATTTAAAATAATTTAATCAAATTTAAAATCGGTTTACATTTTCTCATGTAAATATGTTTAATCTATAATTCCTAACTCCCTAATTTTGCTAACTTGGGAATATAAAACACCCTGGGTGATCATTGGCACTTAGCATTTGCTAGGCCCTATTATTTTTCATTAAATTATAATTAGATTTTCTCTTTTTTTATTACCCACATATTTTCCAATAAAATACTATTACACATAAACCAAAAAAAATTTCATTCTTTTTAACCACGCATTTTTCAAAAAATTACTATTCCTCTCTTTATAATTTGGAATAATGGGGGCCAAACGGGCGCTTAATAGTGTCACAAAGGATTTATTATTAGTTTTCTTCTTTATCTAGTGATAATTAGTGTAATAGCTAAAAACTTGAGTGTCTGTTATCGCAAGAAAATAACTTCAATTTAACCAAAGGGTCTTCCCCTTGGTTTTTCCCACCACCAATCAGGTAGCGGGAAACGAATAGGGAATCATCTCTAACAGTGACGGTGTGCTCGAATTTGTGGGTGCGACCAAGGTCGGTCATGCGATTTTAGGTGTCATGTAAAACATTTAAAATGGTGCCCTTTTCACATAATTAAAATGTGAGTGATGCTACAAGTGCATAATTTTCTACATAAAGGTCTACATAATTATACGTGGCATTCATTCAAACCTTTAATTCAAATCTGACATTTACACATCAACGACATAATGTGTGCCACATCACATTGTGTCAATCATTGTGTACATCTATTATGTACACTTAGTATTTTCCTTAAAATGTATGTTAAGAAAAAGAAATATTTAAATAATTTTATTTCATTGCAAAAATATGATATTTAAATATTTGTTTATTTTCATGAATAAGAAAGTAAAACTCAAAAACACCCCTCAAATTTCATCAAAATTCATGTCATCAACAAAAAAACCATTCAAGCTACTAACCTCTTCGTGCAATTCCATACAAGTAAACTTTGAAATCAAAAATAGCAAATACCATGTATAAACCTTGATGTGCAATAAATCAGATATGGATTTTGATCTGGACGAGGTGTTGAAGTCTCTGCCCGAGCCAGGGAGTGATGAGGGGTTTATCCCTACTGATGGTAAGTTCCAGCGTGTTTCACTTTTAGTTTTTACTTTTGTGCACATCTTGACTCGTTGTTTTGTAAGCTTGATAGACTCTACCTTGTGTGTACAGGGATGGAGTTCAACTTAGAAGAAACCATGGACTCCTGGGCAGAATACGGTCGTGACAACGATGATGATCCACCTGCCGTTCCATTGAAAATGAAGAAGACCAATGATGGGAGAGCACTGCGGTATACCATTGAGGAGGCATCTCCACCTTTGGACAAACCTGTTGAAGCTATCCCACCACCCAGGCTTGCCGGGGCAGCTCGAGTTATGTTGTGCCCAAGCGCGAGGGTTCTTTTCTTCTAGACTTTAGATTCATCCCTCTCGGGGCTATTCAGAGATGAGGGCAATCAGATCCTTGGTTACGCTTGGATGTGCCCAGGCGATTGTTGGGCGAAACGTTGGTGACATTGAGAGAGTTCTGGCGATCCAAACTCAGAGAGTAGATTTTCTATCATCCTTCTTCGTTTTTGTTTGTCTATTCTTTTGTACATGTCTTATAGTTATTTGACCTTTTGTTTCCTTTAGGTTGTGGCTCTTCAGGCTTGGCTTGTCGAGTCAAGTCGTCGCCTATCATCAAGTTGAAGACCTTTGCAGAAGAAAAGAAGGCCCTTGCGGAAAAAAGGAAAAAAGAGTCTCACCAATACAAGAAGAAAGTCTCTTTTTTGAAGAAGTCTCTCGAAACTTCAGAGGCTCGTGCTCGCGAGAAAGAGATGGAAATAGACAACCCACGCTCTGTTTTGGTTCGGACTCCCGAGGAATCGGTGGAGAAATATAGAGCCTCCACGGGATATGCTAATGATCAGGAGGCGTCTGTGGAACAGTACAAGTCGTCATCTGATTTTGCTAAAACCTTACATTCTTATGGGGGGAAGGCGATGGTGGCGTTCATCAAGCTGACCAAGGAGTAGATATCTACTGAGCATCCTATCATCGATCACTCAGGCTTCGATAGGTTTCTAGCGCAGCGCAAAGGAAAAGAAGGCGGAGCCCCTCAATCCAAGACGTTTGGGCACACATCACGAGGCGGGAGTGAATGGACTTCGCATTCGGGCTGACATGACCTTTAGTTGTAGGCCTTTTAGCTTTTCCTACTATTATTTGATTTTCATCATTCGGCTGTTTAGTGTTTTTTCCTGGTCCGTAATGTGGATAGACATTTTTACTACATTTTGAGTTTGAATGCTTGCTTATTGAACATCATTGTGGTTTCGCCTTTCTTTCTTTTTTTTACAGCTTGTAGTATTGGTGTCGGTTGTCGACGTATGAGAGTTTATTTGCCTATATTTATTGCTCATCATTATATGCAAACAATCTTGGGTTGTTGAATGCAGAGTTTGGTGATTTTGAGTTTTAACCATTTTAGGTTTTGAAAACTCACCGCCAACTCTTAGAACGATTTCAAGATAGTCAATTTCTTGACTTTATTGATCACCGCTATGTGTCGAGCGACGTCGAATGCAAGGTCTGGTGATTTTGAGTTTTAATCATTTTAGGTTTCGAGAACTCACCACCAGCCCTTAGGGTGATTTCGAGCTAGTCAATTTCTTGACTTTGTTGCTCATGCTATGTACCGAGCGATGTTGAATGCAGGGTCTGGTGATTTTGACCTTAAAGCATTTTATGTTTTGAAAACTCACCACCATCCCTTAGAGCGAATTTCGAGTTAGTCAATTTCTTGACTTTGTTGCTCACCGCTATGAGCTGAGCAATCTTCGAGACAGTAAGAGAGATTTGTAGTCTTCGTTTCAATAATCACATATTAAGATCTCATGGTGGTTTTTAACTTACCAAGATTTGGGGATTCAGTAGGCGCACTGGGACGGCCCAGCTAGGCTGGCCCTTCCTTAGCGCCCTCATCATATGCCACCATCCAGGCTTCTTCATTAAATAATTTCAATAAAGTGTGCCCGTAGCAGGCATTATATCACAAACATCCTAGCTACTATATCTATAATAGACCATTACATTAGAAAAGAAAAGTGAAAACCCCTAACAACCATATTTACAGGAAAGCATCTTACTACTCAAAATCCCTGCACCTTGTGATAACCCAAGAATAACTAACCAAGAGGGAGGTGAATTGGGTTTTGAAACTTTTTCGACACTTAATCTCAAAACAATACAATACATAAGATATAAATG